AATAGCCTGACTTTCACCAGTCCCAACAGATTCACATACAGATTTTCACCAAGTCCCAACACAGAGTTGCAGCCAGCACAGGTGCTGGGAGACAAGACTCAGCCAGGATGCCTAATGCTACATGTTAGCCTGGGCTTGTGTCATGCCAGAGTGGCCTAGGGACCTGCCACCCCAAAGCTGAGAGGAAAAAGTCAAAGAAGGGACCCCCCTCCACAGCACTGCACAGGTCCAGGAACAGCCTATGCAAGGCCCATAGGGAATGCGCAGAGGTATCTTTAAATCCCTACTGGTGGGAGATCAGTCCCACAGCTCCTCCCTTTGCTCAGTGTAAGATCACAAGAAAAATGAGACATTGCTTTCTTAAAAGAAGATCCAGGGTCCAGCCCCAACCCCAACCCTGTCTCAGGTCCCATCACGCCACTCCTCACCTTTCACATAGCACTGGTGGGAATGCTCCTGCAGCAGCGTGCAGTAACTCATCAACTCCTTATGCTTGTGGTCTAGCCAAGCAGCAGTAGGAGGACGTTCCAGAGACTGGGATCTGGAAAAGAGGAGCCGCAGCCTTCAGCACCAATGAAGTACATTTTAGACTATAAACAGCTCTGGTGCCAGTAAAGCAGGACCCTAGGGCATGCACAGACCATGGCTGCTATAAGGCAGAGAGACCACGCCAAGAGAGTAAGGCAGGGCTAGAGCCAGCCTCTTGTCAAGGAAGCTCCTCTGTTTCCTGTCTAGGAATCAAGTATGGTTGGTATTACCTGAAAAAGATGTCTCGGGGAGGACGGTGTGCCCGTGGGCTGACAAGCTGCTCTCGTAACAGCTCCAAAGAGCAGCTGTAGATGTAAATGGGGCAGCGAAAACGACGGCACTCGCCTAACTCAGATTGCGAGTTCTGGCGACAGAAGGAGATATGTACATCTCTCCGCGAGGGGCCACCCTGTTCTCCAGGGTCACGGCTCACTTCTGCAAAAGAAAAAATCCTGAGATAAAGGCCTTGGATGAGCTCCTCATTCCTGGTCTGGGGGGTCACAGCCCTCACAGCAGCACCCACAGGTAGGTATCAGTTTTACAACCTTCTCACCACTCAAATATCAAGGGCCATTCTCCTCACACAGCACCCATCCACTCAGCCCAGTGCTTTGGCCACACTGATCCCCTTCTTGGGCAGCCATGACTGTTCACCACCACCACCTTCTGCAGCAGCACAACCCTCCATCCTCATTGCAGGCCTGGCTGACTGCACCAGGGGCTGCATGTACCTCAAGACCTATGCCCTTCTCCCTAAGACAATGTGCTGCTGGTAGTGCCAGTCTGGATCACAACCTGAGAGTCACTGACTTTCCAGTGCAAGCCCAGCACTGCCATTCCTAGTAGCTTCTATCTACCTGCAACCTCCTTGCCCACAGGGAGCCAGCCTTGGGCAATGGGCACTCAGCTCACATTACACTTTCATGAACATCATGAAAGCTGGTTGAGACTTCACTGTGCCCCTTGTCCTGACTCTGACTCTGCTGACTGCCAGGCAGGAGCTGACAGGCTGTAGCAGCCTGTTATTCCTCCTACCTCAATCTGCCCAACAGTGTGCTCAGGAATAGCAAGGATACTAATACTAATACATTAGTAAGGTGCTGTCCTGAGGGCGGTACCATGGGCTGGTGTTATGCTGAGGGTAGGTAATGGCACTGCAGCATCCCCTTCTTCAGCCTCAGCCCTGACTTGCTCAGCACAGACAGGTCTCAGGGTATCTTCTCCCGATCGACTCTCATCTTTTGGAGGTTTGTCCAACCCGCAAGCCATCAGCTTCTGTACATCTGGAAGAAAACAAAATAAAATCACCCTCTGTCCAGTGAGAACAGTTTAACCACTCCATCTACATTCCCAAGAGGGCAGATGTCCCTGCTACCTCTTTGTGTGTGGGAACAGCTCCACAAAGTACTTCCAGCTGAGCCTAGCAGCCTTCACCAGCAGCTCAGTGGAAGCCAGACCAGTGCCAATGCCCAGAAGCAAGGACTCTCCCAGACCAGCCCATCAGCAGTCTCCTTACTCCATTCATTAACAACCCTACTGGGAAAACGGTCCAATGGTTGCAGACAGCAAACGACTTGAAGCCACATCCCCTGCCTGAAAACACTATGTGGGCAGCACCATGTCCAAGGAGAGAAGAGCAGCGCTTTGCACTACTCTATTCCTGGCCACATGGTGCAAAAAGACTCGGTCTAGACTCTGCTGTTCAATTTTCTCTCCATCCTACCAAAGCTGATTCTGCTTTTGCTGTTTTCCTGAGGAGGCGCTTGGGACTGCTACCTCCTGTCGCTCCCCACAACAGGCGGCCTCACCTGAGAAGGTGGCTGGCAGGAAGGTCAGGAACACATGCTGCGGGTTGACCAGCTTGGCATAACATCGCCATTGTGGGGGAAAGGGCCTCGTCATGTCACTCAGGGTCACGTCATCCTCAGGCAGCTCTGTGTTGCCGAGGCTCTGATGAAAGAGCAGAAGCTGGATAAGCTCATAGCACATGGCACAGGCATACCTTGAGGCAGGTAGCAATCACACAGAGCAAGCTCCTCCATGACTGCTGGTCGGCACAGCACTGAAATCACCCTGGCCACACCCTGCACCATTCTCAGAGCAGCCTGGCTCCAGTAAACACAGCACACACAGTCAGGAGATGCTTAGCCAGCTTTGCTGGGGTCAGTTCTGACCTCTAGGCAGTGATTGCCCATGGTTTCTGAGCAATCTGCAGCACAGAGCACAGCATCAGTGCTGCTGTAACAGGCTAGGCCCATGGTGAGTGCAACTATCCACACACCTACCAGATTCCTGCTTGACTTCAGCCACAGGCTACAGCTTAAACTGCTGCTAAGCATGGGGAAAACACCAGCCTTTCAATCCATTCTCAACCCTTCTGCTAACTCTCCTGCTCTTCAACAGCTGCTGCCTTGCCTTCAGAGAGTGCTCAGGAGAAGGACAGCAGCATGGCAGTACCTGCAGAGTACTTGTGGAGCCAGTCATATCCCTGGTGCCATTGCTGCCAACAAGATGATAGGATGCAGAAGCATCCTGCTGCTCCAGGGTCCCAGAGGCTTTCAGGGTTTCTTCTGAAATGGAGCACAGAGAAACCAACCTGAGAAACACCAGCTGAGGAAGACACTGGAAAGCAAGGCTCCTGAAACACCCCAGCTCCCAGTGTTACTGCTGCCACGCTCCCGGCCCTTACCTCTGATCACAGGGAGTGTGAAGGGGGGTTGATGGCCATCACGATCCCGTTGCAGAACCTGCTCCATGAAAGCCACATGATCAGCATCAGCCATGGGGATCTCCCGGTCACTGAGGTCATGCTGCAGGCAGCCATGGAAGAGGTTTAGTAGCATTTCATTGGGCACAAACGAAGAGTCCTTGGTCACCTCCTCATTCTCTGCTCCAAAACAGAACCATGGCAGCTTAGAGACAGCATCTCCACAGCCACCACCTGTCCAGGTCCCCAAGACACAGCCCTTTGCAAAGTGACATTGCCACACAGCCAAGAGTTTCCCCCAGCACCTCTGCAAGGCTGACTTGGAGGGTATTGATGAAGCCCTGGAGTTCCAGCATCATTAGCTACCCTGCACTGACTCACCCTGCTACTGTAACTATTCTGGAGAAGACAAAAAACCACCACCACAGAGCAGCAGTCTAGGTTTAATGTTTTCAAAAGCAACTCTTCCAAAACTATCCTTCCAAGAAAGACAGCAATATACCTGGACAGCCCAGGGGCTGCAGAGATGGGAAGAACAGCACTGAGCTACTGAAAGAGGCATGGCAGTTCCCACATGCCTACTGCCCGGGGAGACAAGCACACAGAGCAGGGTGCCCATAGCCACGGAGGGCGGACAAGAGGACGCAGGTGGTGAAGAGGCACCTACCTTTTGTCAGCATTAGGAAGAACATTTCAACCTGCTGGCACCTGGGCAACAGCTTCATGAGGTTGAACTGGAATGGGATCTCATGCACTCGAAAACCAGCCCCCATGTCTGGATCTGCAACAAGAATTGGGAATGTAACATGCCTGTGGGCACCACATAGCCCTGCCTCCCAGGCCACCTCCGCATGCATGGTGTCAGCCCTAAATGCAGTGCAGGTAGCACAAGTGAAAGTACACAGCAACACTGCCCCAACTCCCTCTGCTTAGGAGGGCAGAGGGATACAAAGAATGAATGTGGGGAAAGGGCAAAGCCTGCTGGAGGCTGCAGCAGGTTGTGAGCTACCTACAGAGAGGTACCTCGCTGTAAGAGTCCCCTGGGCTTATTGCCACCTTCATACAAGGAGGGATGGGGAACCACCACAAGGCCTTACACAGCTCAGGCCCAGAGCTGCCAGAGGACAAAAACTGAACATCAGCGTCGGAGGTAACACTGCTGGAGAGCAATGACCACACTGGGAGCCAGAGGCAGCCTGAATTACCAGTGTAGTCAAGGACAAGAACGCCCCTGCTCTTGGGAGAGATCTCCCATCCGGCAGGCTCTGCACATCCCTGCAGGTGTTTCCTGTCCTCTTCCTTAGGAAGGAGTCCCTGCCCTCCAGGTCCTGAGCTTTCCTGGCCCCTCTCCCCCTCCACAGGGCCAGTGATATGATCCAATACGGTTCCCTCAGGTCCCGCCCTCAGCCTTTGGGATGATCCTAGTTCCCTCAAACCCACCCAATATCTGCTGTGTTATTCACTGCAAGGCAAGCAAACAAAAGATCTAGGATGGGATGAACTAGTCACAAGAAATAAAAAATAGTGAGGTTCTGGAACAGATTGCCTGACAAGGGTGAACCCCCCACATACTCCTGGAGTTTCCAGTGAACTATGTTAATCATGTGAGAACAGATACACAATCCTATCCTGAAAGAAGAGGACAGACCAGACCTTCTAAGGTCCCCTTCCCTATCTTTGTGGGCTAATGGAGCATTCACAGAGGGTCCAGAGATGAACAGGACCACCAGAAAGCAAGTGTCCCACAAACTGCTCTGGAAACTGTGTTGTGTCTTGTAACTGAGAACAGAGGAGCTCTTCCTTCACATCATTTACAACTTCTGTACAACTATCTGCCCAGGCACACCCTGCCCATCACTGTATAGGTGAGCTCATCTTCCACCTGCTCCAGAAGTCAGCCCCTCTCACAGAATTACAGAATGGTTGAGGTTGGAAAGGACCTCTGCAGGTCATCTGGTCCAACCCCCCTGCTCAAGCAGGGTCACCTAGTCACCTCTCCAGCCTGGGCAGAAAGCCTCAATGCTTTTTTGGCCTTCCCAGGATGAAGCCATTTCCCTGGCAGCTTAGCACAAGCACAACAAAGTGACCCACAGCTATCAAAGTCCAGAAAGTTGTTGTTGTCAAAATACCTGTTCCACCTTCCAGGCCCCAAGACATTCAGGGCCTAGCTGCCTCTTGCTCCATCATGTATGCTGGACTCACCTTCAGTAGCTTTGGTGTCTGAAGGAGGGCAGACCCACTCCTTGTTCTGGCACAACTGGCTGATGTACTCGAAGGTCAGCATGGTGGCAATGCACGCAAGGTCCCGGGGATAGAGCTGCAATAAACAGTCAAGGCTCGGCTGTACGCAGCAGAATTATTACCCCCAAATGCAGGAGAAAACAGTCTAAAAGTAAGGTGAGGAAACACCCATAATCCCATCCCCTAACTTGCCCTATTCTCACTCATTGCTCCCTCCTTCTCCACCAGCCCTCTAGCCTCTTTTTGCCTTGTTCAGGAAGTGCATTGGTGCAGTACTGCCTGCAATCCCTGCTCTGGTCCAGCTTGCTCCCCTCCAATGGCCCTTGACAAAGTAATTTGTATTTTCCCACCTATCCCAGAGCAGCATTGCATCCACTGCCTTGCAATCCAGAAACCTTTTCTGTCCAGTAGCTCAGTTCCTCTTTTAGAAATCTCAGGCTCTTTTGTTAACGGCATTCCCATCTCTTCTGGCCCTCAATAATTCACCTGCAGTGTTGCAGTGCACTTGCAATAAACCCTTCTCCCTCCACAAAAGAGCCCACGCCCCTACCCCTTCAGGGACTCACCGCTTTAGGTATTTTCTGGTAGGGCAAGCCATGGAGGTGCTTCCAATTCTCAGCAGTACTGTGGACATGGCCGCTCTGTGGCTCTACCCAGCACTCAGTGACCAGGTTCAGTTCTGTGTCCACCTCGATGGCCTCTACCTCTGTATCATTGTCATCGTCTGTGGAAAAGCTGGAGGAAAGACGTAAGGCAAGTCGTGTGAGATGGCACAGAGCCAGCAGCCCACTGCAGCTCCTCTCAGACCTGTGAGAGCAGCCACACAAACCTTAGGTTTGCAGACAAAGCCCCAGCTAACTGGTGATCAATCCATGACAGCTAGTTGTCTGTACTAGATGATGGAGGACTCCCTCCTTCCCACACTGCCCGCCAAGGGCAAGTCTGGAGCCGTGAATCCGCTGCCAGCCCTCCCTGGGAGCAGGGCAACAGCCTCACCTGTCCTTGGTGGAGGTGGAGTGGGGTGGGAAGAGGATGTATTGGACGACACAGGTGTGCTTCTCCCTGCCGCTGCTGCTCTCACTTGAGCCATCAATCTGGAGGGAAGACACTGCATGAGCCTGGCCAGCAGCAACAGCTCACACCTACCCAGTGCCCCCCTACACAACACAGAGCCCCACCACTCAGCTCCACTAGCAGTGGTGGAGAGAGGGAGCCAATGCCAAGAACTCCTCCAGCACAGCATGTCCCTACCAGCAAGGCAGCGCTCTAACTGCAGATGAAGACAGGAAAATGCCCAACCCACAAGCTGCTTTACTTCAGGGGAGGAGGCAAGTCTCCCTGTACATGTCAAGGGTGTGTGCTAGGGAAATCCCATCACAGGAAGGTGAATGCACCTCAGAAGAAGCAATGAAGGATTGCGTCCACACTGCAGCACCCAGGCTCACCTGTATGGGCAGCTCCAGCACCATATTGATAATTCCATCCCCACTGGATGCAAAGTGGAAACCCTCTGACAGACGAACCCTGGCAACAGAGAGGCAGTCAGACATGGAGGACTTCTCTACCCATACTGCAAGCCTTAAATACATGAATGACTGTAGCCTTCACCCCATAACACCTTCCTTCCCAAGACAGGGAACTACACACAGAGAATGGGGAGATATGACACTTTGCACAGGACAGCCTGTGTGAAGATCAGCATACTCCAGGGCATACCTCTTGCCCTTTTGTATGTTTTCCAGGACTCTCCTTTTCCTCAACTGCAGCTGCATAACTGGGTAAAGCACTGGCCCAAGTAGCTCTAGAAGCTGTGTACAGGACCAAAACCCTCTGCACAGCAGCTTCAACTGTTACCTATAATAAGGCCTCAGATCCACCCTGCTTTCTCTGCATCCCCAGGACTAGCTGGAGAAAGCACCCCCGTTCAGGTGTGCAACTTACTCTGTGAGTGTGGAAAGGAGCTGGGCTACAGCAGTAATGGGCACAGCCGGTGCCAGCCCCGACTGGACACTCCAGATCCAACGCTGGTGATAGAAGTAGCGGGACAGCGAGGCCAGGGTAGAAGAGGCAGTACGATTGGCCACCATAGTGAGCGGGCCAGACACCGGGGGATGCTCCAGGTTGAGAATGAAGGGGGCTCGATAGTCAGAAGGCAGCTTCTCATACCTAGGAGAGGGCAGAAGTGTGGCTCGCTGAGGTGGAAAGAATGCTCTGCTCAGGGCCAGAGCTGTCTGGATTCACACCCTGCTTGCCAGAGCCCTCCAGCAGCAGAACGTGGCTAGCCCAGCACAGGATCCTGCTCAGACAGCAGTAACTAAATTTACTTCTGTATCATATTAGTTAGGAATAACAAATCTGCCTGTCCAGCAAGGCCCCCTGCTGCAAGTCACAGCCCTCCCAGATTACAGCTGCCATTCGCAGCCACGCAACCCAAACCCACCCAAACAAGCACCAGCTTCACAGCACTCTCATCCTGCAACTGGCAGCACCATCCACAGACCCTCCTCTCTCCCACTTCCCAGGGCACGGAGGCTGTGCTGATAGCCTGGACCTCCATCACTACCTGATGAGTAGCTTCTCCAATGGTTTGTGCAGCACAACGAGGCAGGGTCTGTCTGAGAGGGCTGACTGGGCCCCAGTCACAGGTGGCGACTTGGAGGGAGAACTACTGCCAAATGTTTTCCTCTTTGCTTTTGGAGTTGCTTCCTTGCTCTGGACCCTGTGGGGAAAGCGCAGCTGCAAGATTCGGTCCCGTAACTCCTCCACTATCTGTCATGGCAAAAGCAAAAGGTAAACGTGACCACCTTTGTCTGGAGACATAAGATACTCAAAATAAGCTTCCAGAACAAGAGCCTGACTAAAAGGAATAGCACACTCCTTGAATATATAGATGAACAGGAGTTAAAGGTCATTTTACTTCTGAGGCACTAGCAAGACCAAGATCAAGATGACACAAGGCTCTTAGGTCCACATTTTAACAACTACAAATATTTTTAAAAGCAAAAGAAAGGTCAAAAAAAACCCAAAGATGATTTCAAGGCTGAAGAAATTGCCTTCCATAACTCTGATGAAAAACAAATTAATTGCATGCCAGCTCCTCCACAGAAGCAGTCTGAGTACCCACCCTCATTCCTCCCCTCCTCTCCTCAACAGTAAATGTAAACTAGTATGTGTAAGACAGCCAGACTGTTCCCACAGCTGATGTGTTCCCCCACTACCATGTTCATGTGTCAAACATTTATGGTAAAAGGTTTCAAGGGCTTAGGTTATTTTTTAGGTTATTTTTTTCCAAGATACTTTCAAAATGACTTCCTGATTACTCTTTTTAGCAGCTCTGAATACAGTTCTACCCACACCAGCATCTGATCCCCACAGTGCCCCAATGTTTTCTTTGAAATTTCCATGGTTAGGTTTCTTTTCATAATCTTTGTTCAACTCATTTTAATTTCCATTATCATTGCAGACAAACAGGAGAACAGCAGCTCTCCATCTTCCTCCTCAACGCTAATTATTTCAGCAACTTTTCCCATCATTATTATGTCTTTTTCAAGGAAAGGAGTGTCCCCAAACCCAAACATTAAGCAGAGCTTTTTTCTGCACTATGATGCCACTTGGCCCCCCCTTTGTGGTTTCACACTGATAACACAGAATTGCTGATGGTGTTTAAGCTCCCAAATCCAAGGTGCACTATTTTGCAGTTATCAATACTGGCTTCCAGCCACCATCGTGCTGCTTAGGTGTCCACAAAGCACATAGGTTGAAAGGGCAGAGAAAACCAAATAGCTTTGTGCCACCTGCAGATTTTCCCAGCTCACTATGTGCTACCTATCTGCAGATGAGTTCCCTACCCTTTGACTAGTAAAAAGACTGGGAAAACCACAAACAGCTTCTGCCTTGATGAGAACAGAGCACTTTTTCAATTTCCTTGTCTTGTTCCCTAAGACAGTTTCTGTTTTATGACACCCCATTCCTACTCCAGTTCTACAGTTGTGCCCTATATGAAGTCCCACCAAAAGCCTTCTGAAAGTCAGACTGTACCAGGTGCTTTCCTTCCCTTAAACATTGGAAATTTGAATGGTTCAACACAAAAAACCCTTCCTGCCTCGTTGCCAAGGTGAGCAGCTCCGATTGGCAGCGGAGTGCTCTAGTGCGGTGCACAGGGGTGTTTCCCGAACGAGGGGAACCCCTGGGAGAGCCAAGAGAGCCGCCGGGAGCCCGCAGCTCACACCACAGCAGCTGACGGGACCTGGGCAGGGCCAGGAGCAACGGCGGCCAAGCTCCCCACACCCACGCACGAGCCCCAGGGAGCACTGTGAGCAGGAGCGCTGCCAACAGGATGGGCAAACAGGGCGTGGCGCGTCAGCGAGGGCATGGCGCGGCAGTTTGCACGGAAGGGCGTGCAGGGAGGGGAGCCTCTTCGAAGGAGAGGCATTCCCCCGGCCGCGC